CCCGCACAGTTTCCTAGGAAACACACAGCCGCCCTGCGAGGAGCCGCAGGGGAGAGAAGAAATGAAAGCAGCTGCTTTGGGATTTCTTTCCCTAGCTCTTCATGCTTCTAACCAATATCAAGTATGTAAGCAAGCTGCTACGAAGAACAGTACCAGTGTCTGTTGTAGTGTGCTTACAAGAGTTACGTGCTAATCATGAAAGACACAGAGCAAAAATTGAGGTATCTATCTGTGTGGGTTAGAGTCCACATTTTATTTCTTCCTTTTAGTGTCAGCAATATTCAGCTTTTGATAATGCTATCTGTAGGCACTGCTGGAGTCCTGTGGTCAGTTATGAGGCTAACACCAGGAAGCCGCAGGGAAGTTATATGCGTATTTCTCAGTTGAAGAAAACTATCGTTCCTTCTGAGGTGGAAGAAAAAAAGAATATGTTTGTTTTATTTCTGCATCTTCTCAGTGATCACCTTTCTTTGACCCTAAAAATCATATTCAGAATGTCACGATTTGAGTCCGTTGCATACTGAGAAGTCTGCAACATTAAATGTTTCTTATAAAGAAAAAGCGAAGGTTTTATTATTTCTATTGCCACTGTTGCACAGTGCAAAGGGCTTATTTCTGCTGCAACTCTATTGGCTTCAGTGGTAAATGGACCAGGAAAAAAATGGCCACATTATTTTGTTCCTTGTAGACTCTCTATGGCTGTCATGCTAGGACTCAGGTTGCTCCTAGGTGATGGTGTATTAATTGATGTGAAGAAAGTCTCTTAGGCAGTGCTTTGTTTTGTTTTGTAGCAGAAAGTCAGGAGATTTGTGGTAAAGATGTGTTCCTACAGAAGATATTTTCTGTAGCTGTAGAGAAAGCCTTGCCTTTTGCGTAAAATGCCGTTTACTCTGTGAATAGCAGTGTGGTACTTCGAGGACAGAGTTGTTAGCTGTGACCTTGTCCTGGTGCTTCATACCCAGGCATGTCCTGTTGCTGTATCCTAGAAATGATGAAGGCCTGTAGAGAGAATCTTCTAGCTAACTAGAGATAATAGAAACAAATGTGTTGGAGTTACAATTGGGGCTTCTCTAGAAATCTAGATATCTTTTTTTTTTTTTTTTCCTGATGGTGTAAAGAAAACTAGAGCATTTTTGCAAATGCTGGTGCTTTGGTCATCCTTCTGGAATAACTTTTGAACTGTTCCAGTTTCATGCAGTGACTTTTTGGCTGTGGTGACAGATATTCATCTCAGTAACAATGAAGGAATATACACATTGCTAAGTAATGTTTTTCTAGACCTTTTTGTCTGTGTCTTCCTGATAGTCTTTCTAATCTGCAGCAAGTTGAAAAAGAAATCTGCAAACGTTCCACAGGTAAAGCAATGGTGATAGACAGAGATATGAGTGTCGTAACTTGCTCCAAAGAATTCTGGTTGAAAGTAATGACCTTAGAAAACAGAGAGGACATAAGAATGCACAAAAGTCCACTGAAAGCTGAAACTAACCTCTTGGTGCTATTATACCTGTTTATTTTGTAATTCTGTTGTGAATTCATAGAAACATTTGTTAAACAATTGTTTATAGGTTCTTTGTGTTCTTTAGTCAATTTAAAAAAAAAAGAAGCCTTAAAGTGGCCTTTTTTATTTTTTTTTCTTTCCCCAATATCCTGTTCATTATGATGACAAATTCCTAATCCTTTCCCCTTATGGGTGTGTGTACTTATGCTGCGTAATAGGACAGACTGGAATCTGAGTCAGGCTTTAGGAAAAGAAGGTAATTAAAGAACTCTAGGGCTTACACAGCAACCTGGGAAACATGCCACTTAGCCTTGAGTTCAGGGATTTGTATGGCTAATGGTTTCCCAAATAATCCCTGTGAATATGATGGCACACAAAGAAGTGGGGGAAGGTAGAGGGATGGGAGAGGCAGGGAGCAGATACAGGCTGCAGCTAGAGTGCTGGCTTTGCAATACTAAGTAGCTGAACAAAGCTATCTGCTTTACTGTGTCTTTCCTCCCACCCACTTTGTATTCGTTAATAGCACTGAAATATCATGCTATAGAAAACAGTTTCTGCAGAAGAAACATCTGGCTCCTTAAGGCTCAAGCAGTGGCATTAAGAGTTCCAAAATATTCGTCATCATACCTTGTTCTTTTAATTATTTTTAACCGACTGCTGAAAATAGGCCAGTGGTAAACTGTAAGTGGAATCGAGTTTTAAGTTTTTCGATGTGGCTTCTGGTCATGTCTCAGGATGTTAATCTGATTTTTAGGATGATGTGAAAAAGGATGTTGCTCGATAGGGAATAGACTGCAATTCATGCAGGTCTTTTTCCTTCATGTCATAGCAGGTCATTGAATTTTGAAGCTAACCTTCTCAACTTAGTGATGAAGGTGTGACCTATAAAATTCACTGGACTCTTACAGCACATTGAGAGGTACAGCCATACAGTGAGCTACTTCAAAGCCAAATCTCTTTGAGCAGGTGTCATGTAGCCTTGGGTACAATTGCTGCTCACTACACTTACAGCTCTTACTCCGTGAAAGGCAATGTGGTGTCCTCCAGCCCTGAAGCTACTGTGCTGCCTGGCTGAGCTTTGTTTGTACCTAGGTAGGTTCGAGGTTAGTCCTGCTGCAGGCTGTGCTCTTCTTGGCTTTTCCAGAAAGGCAGTGGGTCAGGGCCTAGAGCCTGGGGTAAATGTTAGGTGTCTCGGGCAGAAAATACAGCTGGTAGGTGAATGACAAAGGAAGAGAATAAACATAAAAAAAACTATCTAGTAGGATTCATATTGTATAAGGAACTTTCTCCTTCTTTGGCCATCCTGTAGGAAGGATGCTGGCTGGTCTTTCCAAAATCTGTGTATAGGTATATATTTCTATTTTTTCTTAGTACTTGTTAGAGGCATCTCTTGTATCTTCAAAGTACACCACTATGAAGTAACTTGCTTATTCTGTCAGCCAGCTGCAACCTGCATCTTTATTTCCAGCCATAATTCCTCTGTTTGGGTGTGTACTTGTATTTATGTCTCCAGCTTGGAATATGCTGAAGTCCCACAATCCAGTTTGAGTCAGCTGTAAAGGTTAAAGCGAGGAGAGAGACTTTTTGTCAACTCTTTTTTCACAAAGTCTGATTCCCAGAACTTACTTCTGCACTGTGCTCCTTGATGGTGTTTAAAGCCTGTCATCCTGCACTGATGTATTATTTTTTCTCTCTGCAGACTAGCACTTGGTCATCTGACATTACATCTCAGAGTAGCAGCGTTTAACGTCCTTAGAAGTTGTGACATAGAGATGGCTTACCTTGAGGGCTTTGTCTAGCTTGGAGAACTAATAAAATCTGTTTTGATAGAGCAAGGATGGCCTTAAATGAAAAAATCCTGGGCCATGCAGATGAGAATTTCATGGTAACAACCTAAATCAGAAACTTTTCAATTTGCTCTTTGAAGTCTGTTAGGCTAACAATTTGATGGCATTTGAGGTCCAACCTGTATTTAGACCAAACTTTTTCCTGCCTCAAAACCCACAGTTTCTGTATAACTATCTTCCCTTGAAAGATAGAGCCAGAGACAAAGGGTTCATACTAGAGATACTCTTCTAAGGAAAATGAATACCCTAAAATATTATTGTGGTAAAGGTTGAGTAAGACTCAGAAAATTGATACTTTTTGAATAATAAGTTTTGTAATACATAAAGCTACTGAACAATGTTCCTTGCTCTCTCTCTCTCTCTTTTTTTTTTTTTTTTTTTTTTTGCGTAAGTTTTATTCTGTATGAATGCCTCTGTTGGAAGTAAATTTGTATGTTTTTCTGTCATCTGAAGAAGAACATGACAATGAATTACTTACCTCCTGTACAATATATTTGTCCTTCCCCAAAGGTGTAATTTATATGTGTACTTTGTGGTAGCCTTTCAGTGTAAGCCTTTAAGATTATGCTCTTTGCTATGAAAACTGAAGCAAATGAATACTAGAGTAGCATCTGTATCTTTCCTGTAAGCTTGATTTATTGGTGCTCTTCTAGATACCCATTCAAATCAATAAGAAAGCATATTTCCAAGGAAGAGAGATGTTCAGCTCTGTTGTCTGTCATCCTGTAGATACTGTTCTAAACTGAACTGTTATAGCCATATTAAACCAGTATTAATGTTGGTGAATCTGATGGTAGAAATACTCGTGAACATAAATTTTGTGGTCATAATAGATTGATAGCCACAGGATATGGGAGCTGCTTCAGTGGGATGATGTGGGATTTTTTTTGGTGTTTTGATTTTTTTCCTCTTATAAAAGGTATAAATAGCAAATTCTAATATTCTCAAGGTTTTAAATTCATTTTTGGTGAATTTCTTGTTGTATCTTTTTCTTTTGATCATCATGTTTCTGAAATAAAGAGGTGGGTTTTTTTGTTTGTTTTTTTTTTTGCTTCGCTCCCTGTTCCACAGTTTGTTGAATTGTTTCCTTGTGCTACATAATTGTAGTACATGTTTTACAGCACAGTTTCTTGTGAGATTTGATTGATGGCAATGATTGTGGGTGCCTAGTTTTTCCCCTACCCCCTTCTCTATATGCGAAATAAAATGGCTGAAAAAGCTTTTGTTTTCTGTGTTGCGTGTGTATATTTAAACAACAACAACAGTACTGGTTTGGATTTTTTTGGCTATGTTTCCAACCTGTCCAAAATGTGTTGCTTATTTTTCTTGTTTCTTTCTTCTTGTATTTTGCCTCTTAGTCCAAGGAAGTTGTTGTCTCTGAGAATGGAGTTGGGATGTTCAAACTTAGAAATGAAATGATACATGATCTACAGATTCTCCTTGCTTAATCGATGCATGTGATGTGTTAAAAGAATGCCTCAGCTCCAAAGTAAAAATATTTTCAAAATTCCTTGAGACCACGTTAATTCGCTATAAATACTATAGGTTTTCCTTATTGATGTATAACAGAAGATCAATCTTGAAATGGCAAATGAAAGCAGTGCTTGATTAAAAAGCACAGGAGTATTGTTAAATGTTCCCTTTTCTTTGTGCAGAAACACGATCAGATAGAACAAAGAAACTGTTTAGACACTACACAGTTGGATCCTATGACAGCTTTGATGCTTCAAGGTAAGATTTTTTCTTTTTGGTTGCAATCTATTTACAAAATCTTTCTCGATTTTACTTAATTGTTACTTTTGTTTTAGAGTTTTGAGGGAAAGAGGGAGACAGATGACTAAACTGAGCTTCTAAGATATCATTCTACATCTAAAGTGTTTTTTTATCAGTTTACCCTTTGATATGGGATGGGTATGCAAAGATAGTAAACAGCAAAGAAATAATGAGTATCACTGTTACGTTTTCATGAGTAGTGAGAGAGATCAGCATTTCACAGATGCTGTATGTTCCAGATGCTTACACAGTCAAGGACCACTTAAGCTGGGTATTTCACAAGATCTGGCCTTCTGTATCTGTTTGCAGAATCATACTTGCTGACAGGAAAAACAAAATAAATTTTTGCAATTTGTTGTTCTGAACGATACCTTAGATCCTGAGTATTCATGATTTTTAAGCAGGTTCTTCTCCCACTACACTGCATGTACAGCTAGCTTCTGATAGGAAGGATGATTTTTAACATGCAGAATGTCAGTTAACTGTCGGTGTCCTCTTGAGAAAACTGGTGGCATACTGGAATCTCTTACACTTTTCTCCTGACTGTCTAATTACAGCTTTTCAAGAAAAACACTTTTTTTGTAGGTGAAGAGCTCTGCAATGTGTAAAGCAATGATGGCAGAATTTCATGTGGTGCTATCTATTTCAAGGAAAAAAAAAAAAAAGTTGTAACAGTTGTTTTTATTATGTGATCTTAATCTTTGTTCCGAGGGTTATGCATAGTTTGTATGCAATTTTGGGCAGGAGGGTGGAGTTCAAGTCAGCTGAAGTAGTTTGGATAGCCAAGACATCCTTCCTTGTTCCTGCTGGTTGGTGTGCAAAACTCTGAAAGGCAGAGTGTCTGCTTGTTGTCTGCTGTTTACTGCCTGTAAATATTTGAAAAATACATAAATCTGCAGTCCCACTGAGTTGTAATTTGAATGAGTATTGCAATGTTGGATGCAGAGGGAAGCTTTGGTGACACAGTGGGAGGGGGCACCAGATGGTGGGTTGACTACAATCATCCCATTTTGGCATTTTGGAGGGTCTGACGTTCCTGTTCAGTATACAGTGTGCTGTAGGGCATCAGTTCTGGTTACTGTGACCTGGGATAAGAGAAATCCCATTTCAACATCATGGATATTACCCTGCAATGGTCAGCCAAGTCACCAGAGCTTTTCACAGCTGGACAATGATATGATTGACTATGTAGTCTAATAATGATAAAGTCGCCAAAAGAAGCTCTTAAGTCTCTACTATGAAACACATAACTGTTCTGCAAAGCAAGTTAACTGATTACTAGTTATATTTCCAGGGAGTGGAGTTGGCTTTTTGTAAGATTTCGTGATCATTGTTCCATAAGCACTGTAGCCTTGTCTCTATATTTCAACATTAATGGATAGAGTTGTTTCAGTAATGCTAGAAGCTATAGCCACGTTATGTTACCTCAGAGATACCAAATAGTCCTACTTTCTAACAAAAGATGTTTTCATTTGAAAATGTCAGCTCCATCGAAACCATTTTTTTGTTGTTTTTATTGTTGTGCTTTTGTTTGTTTGTTCTTTGATTGATTTTTTACCATTAAGGTATTGTGTTTGTGCAATGCAACAGCAAAGCTCTCAAAAATTTACATTGTGTGATTCAGACTACAGCTGAGCAGGAAAGTTTATCAAATAAAATGAAAGTTTTCATACTCCCTAATTATTGAGAAATTAGGTATGAAATATATCTATAATTGTTCCTGATTCTGTCAACAGTATCTCTTAATTGTCTGAGAAGTATGAGGGAAAGCAACAGATTCCTCCTGTCAGCTTCTGAGTAAAGCAAGATTTTGGAGAAAACTAATTTTTACAGAGACCTAAATCCCAGTGGAGCCATTTAGAAGGGTAATAATGACGGTCCAGCAGTGCAACTAGGAATTGAAAGGGAAAGGTACGAGAGAAGGTAGAATTAATGGGAAATTCCGAGAAATACAGTTGAAAGGTAGACTAGCATAACATTTTTCTCTACAAGACTTGTAAAAATAATAAAAGCAAAACTAAAAACTGTTTTTGGTGACTGACTTTCCAAACCCAGTAAGTTGCTGGAACAGAAATAAGTTTTCTCTGAGGCATTTACAATAACTTGCTCTAATGACGTGTTTACGGAGTACATATACCATGATGAAAGGTAAACTTCTTTCTTCATCCTTTACAACACGCCATATAGCAAAACACTGTTCTGATACTTTTTATTCTAAATAAAATAGAGTATGAGGACTTGCTTTCTTAAAACTGCAGTAGCATATGAAGTTGAGTTTCAGATACTTGACTAAGGCTGCAGATCAGCTTTTGTGCATCCAAATGGTAATTTTACTGGCTCTTACATATTGCTGGTAAAGAAAAATAATTTGTATTTAAGTATGGCAGGAGCTTAGTATGTCTTGTTAGTATGTAGAGTACATTTATTTTCTAGGATGGGCTTCTTCAGGGAAGGAAATTGTTAAAAAGAGGCAAACGTGATGTCAAACAAACAACAATACTCAATATTTCCAAATTTGTGTGTTGCTTTGATTACTTTTTCTGTTATGGTTTCCTGTCAAAGTAAGGGAAGAATACAGTAAAAATGATATAACTGCTTGCAGCTAAGATTTAATAAACATTTGTTAGAAGGCAAATCTAAGAAGAGCTTTGAAACCAAAGTATTAACAAATCTGACTCAATTCCTTTCCAGAGATGATGTGGGGGAGTAAGGGGAAGTGTCTGCTCCCCTCACTTTCTCCTTCCTGCTCCAAGGAAGGCAAAAATTGCTGAGTAGAAATACTGTTCAGAAATCTATATTAATGGGCTTATTCACATGCAGGAAAATGCATTGTACATGGCATTTTTCATCTTTAGGAAAATGTGCAGCTTGAGTAATGGAGGTTCATTAAATCCTATTTCAGCTTTGCATAAGAAATGAGTTATCCATACATTAATGCTTCAGGAAAATGGATAGTATGCTTACTAACATGTAGAAAAGCAATGAGACTTCCTTGCCAGTACAAATAACCATTAAATATCATACAAATAGAATATTTGAAACTATCAAGTCTAATGTATTAGCTGGTATAAATGCTGATGGGATGCATTAATTCTGTTATGCAAAAGTGATGTCTCTTGCAGCTGTCAGGCACTGCTTCTGCTGCCATTTCTTTACAGGGATTTCTTTACTGTTTTATTAGAAACTTTAGAGAACTAATTCCTTGCAATCAATTTCCTTTAATCTTATGCAGAGAGGCAAACACTGAAGGGAAGGATAGGCATTGTTGCAATTGTGGACATGGGCGAGTCTTATGTAGCAGGAGTTCTTATTGGACAAATGAGAGTAAATACATATCTCTGGACATTCATCTCATGTTGCAGCTCTGGCGGCTGAGCTGAAAAATTGGATGGCCAAAGCTTCCCTCTGCCTTGCCAGATGGAGCTTACAGGCAGCCCCATGCCTGCAGTGGCTGGAGCATGGCATCAGACCCCAGGAAACATTGTGGCCCAAGGCTCTGCTTGGTGACATGCCTTATGGCCCCAGACATGAGCAGAAAGCTTGCACAGGCAAAGAGCAGGTACAGCAACACAGGTGCAGGGAGATAAGATAAGACAAGACAGCACTACTCTGACACATCCCTGGAGTTTTGTGTCTTCCCTGTGTCTGTGGTCGGTAGCAGCCCTGACAACCGTGGGACATTGCTTTTGAGAGCTGGGGGAAGCTACTGAGGGAAACTACTGAGGAAACTACTGAGTCCGGTTTGGAAAAATGGTTATTTCAGTCTGTCTAATCTATGCTGAGTGGGCAATATTGTGCACTAGCAAAGGGGAAGCTTCCGAAGTGCTGCAAGTATTCATCAGAGGTCTAGTTAAAATTCAGAAATACCTTTAATGCAAATAAAATTATTTGTAGGCCTAAAATCAATTCTTTCATGAAGTCTTGTTTCATCACAGTTGAATTCGTTTAATAAGAGAAATTAATACTAAGGCATAGAATAAACGTTGAATTTAAATAAATAAATAAATAAAATCAATTTAGACCTTTACAAATTGTATTTTTAATCTGCTATTTATCTGCTATTTAACCTGCAGTGAGGGAACTAATTCCATCGGGATAGAATAGGGAGTTAATCAGTCAGGAAAAACGGAGGGAAGACAAATCTAAGTTGTCAAATTAAAATGTGTAAGATTAATTAATTGTTCAATTTCAAATGTAAATTATTGGCACCTTTTTAAAGGATGTGACTGGTGATAAAGTAACTGTTAGTTTTAATACTCTGCAGACATAAATAGTATGAGCAATTTCAGTAGCATGTAAACATTGTAAACTTAATTTGGTGGAAAACTTTATCCATTTGCCTTCATGGATATGGAAAATTTAGAACACAGATGTGGAAACTTTTACTACTGCATTAGTTGCATCATCTGCCTGCCACCCCCAGCAGAATAGTGAAACAGCAGATCAGTAGGAATGACTTTTTAATTGCCAGCTTCAAAAGTTATGAAGTGTATGGTATAAATGTAAGGTTCCCTGCCTTTCTGTGCTTTCTCTTTCTTCACAGTCCAATTGACATTCACATCTTTTTTTAACTAACCACTTTCACTGGTACTAGTCACCACATGGGAGAAATTTCCTTGGTGCCTTTTCATGAGCTCCTTTGGCTACAGCACTTTAGAAAGCACACGTGAGAGGATGTAATAATAAATAACCTTTTCAAAGGTTGTTTGCCACAAAGTTAATGAGGGGACTGAATTGATTTGCTTTCTGGTTTTTGTTCTATTTTTCTGGATGAAGAAAAAAAGGAAAATTTGATTGTGTAGTCTGGGAGGTATGTGTAAGCAAGCTTAATTAAAAGCTTAATTCATTAACCCTAATGTCCCTACTTGGTTCCAGTGGCAGCATGCTAGTCTCATGAGCATTAGAAGCTGATGGAAGCAACTCCTTAAAATCCCACTGATTCATAAATACACAAGAAA